TTTGGTTTTGAGAAAGAAAAAAAGTTTTTGTTGAAACCATAATTTTATTTCATAATTTACAATACATTTTCATAATGGCGTGAGTACGCGATTGCCGGTTGCTTGTATCTTACACAAGACACAAGTTTGCGCGGCGCGATTTTAGATCCGAAAAAAATATTTAATTTCCAATAACTATTTTGTTTTGTTATTTTTAATCATCCGGGGATTTCAAAAGGAGGTATAGTTGACGAAATATTATGTCGTCTGATCTCTTTATCTTTCGAGTACAATAGGATAAAAGTATGAGCCGTCTCGGTTACGCTCGTGCCATCTGTATAGTGCAAACAACCAGTCTAAGCACTTGTACGCATTGGCACTTAACTCTGAACTTCATAATCTTCACGCGGGTTTAACTTTGCTGAATTAGTAAGAAAAGAGCGGTAGTCGGTTTTTATGGAGTACATACAATTTAAAAAAATAAACGGCCTTATGACTAAAGAAACAATTCAGAAAAAGCATGACTCGTGTGATGGACCAAGATCATTAAATCCGTGTACGCTTTGAGTTTTATTACACTATTGTAATAGCAAAGATGCGAACGATAACATTCATCGGTGCAAATAATATTTCTTCAACTATACTATCTACTCGATGTGTAGAATACAAGTTTAGGTAATATACAATATTCTGCTTATTACGATTTCTTTGTGTTGATAAATAAGGTTCAATTTTGTGACTATATTTGCAAAGTATTAGCAACAGTGACACCGGGGCTATGAAAAAGTTTATTAATAGTCCGACGGCGTTGTGCGATTTATGACAGCGCAACACGCACCGGGGCGATCTAATCAACTAAAATTGGGTTGAAATTACGATTTTATGCCTATTTGCTTCTTTGATCGATTGCACGAAGAAATAAGGCTTTTAATACTTATTGCCAGACTCAATCATTGCGACCCCATTTTGGCAAGAAAAAAACGCAATTTATAATTTTGATGGAAAAGTTATTTGCCTAGCTCGATTCAGATTTTTACGTATACGTTGTGATTTAAATAAATAATCGAGTTCTTAAGTTTTCGCGACTGTTACACATAGGAAATGAAACTATTTTTCCGGATTTAAATCGTGTATATTGTTTTTTCAAACAAAGGACCCGAAACATTAGTTCGTTTGAAAAAGAAATGTACGCGATTTAAATTCGAAAAAATAGTTTCATTTCGTATTCTAAATAAATCAGTTTTCGTCAAAATTGTTACGTCCAGTACTGTTGCAAAGAACGACTTGTAATCTGACTTATACATATTTAGGAAATGAAACTAATTTTCCGGATTTAAATCGCGTATATTTGTTTTTTTAAACAAACTGACGTTTCGGGCCCTTTACAGGTCCCATGGTCACGGTTGACTGAGGTGGTACAGTCTTCAACCAGTTATGTCTAATATTGATGCAAACCACCCTATTTTTTCATTCAAGTGTAACAATAGCGAAAATCTAAGAACTCGATATTATGCATATTTTTTGTTTCTTAACTATAATTAAGAGTATCTATGTAACAATATAATGTGTAGCTAAGTTAAATCGCACACTCGCTGTAATAAGGCCACGTTATTTAGTAGCAGAGTAGAGCTCCTTGTGAAAGAGTTCGTCCAGGGAAGTACTGCCGCCAAGCAGTAACGTGAGCATTACTGTGTTCCGGTTTTGAAGGATAAGGGTGACACATAGGACTTGTTAACTTATGTCTCAGGGTGACGGGCGCAGTGGCAGTGCCCCTAAGATCGTTGTGATTTAAAGCTCTGAATGGCACTGCAACTATTATAGATAAACGTCTCGCTTACCACCAGGCGCACGACCAATTCGTCCTGTCTCTTAATATTATAAAAAAAAGAATCAAACCTGTGACTCCTTTTGCAATATGGAATGGTCTTATATGTAGTCTGTGTCTCAACCATGACTTTACAGTAGTGATGAAAAAGTCTCGTATGCACTTGTACTAAACTTAAATTATTACTTACATTAATAAGACACTCTTAACACAAAGTATTAAAGGCACTTAAGTCATTGGTTTAAGAATCTATACGACCTCAAATGGCTGTAAAAAAAATATAGGAAAATTGAGTATATACACTGATTACCATACGGCGTGAAAACATGATTCCCAAACATTTTCACGATAGAAAAAAACACAAACTTACCTCGAACTTTTACAAGAAAACCGCTTTATTCCAGAGGTTCTTTACATATAACAATGATTTTTTTAATATCAACTGAACTAAATAGAACACGTATAGTATACGATATATATTTAACCGACTTCAAAAAAGGAGGAGGTTCTCAATTCAACTGTATGTTTTTGTTTTTTTTTTTTGTATGTATGTTACGCAATAACTCCGGTATTTGTGAACCGATTTTCATGATTCTTTTTTTGTTGGAAAGGGGGTACTTCCATAGTGGTCCCATTTCATTTTGAAGAAAATCATCCACCTCGAAGTGTGGCTGTTCACGCATGAAGATTCATTTTTATAAATAGCGCCTAATTTAATTTAGGGGCAATTACTTTAATGGTTGATTTTGCTGTTTCTCCAATTCAAGGCGTTTTTCTTTCAATATACTTTGATTAGTGTCGTAGTGAGAACGTATTTTTATTATCTCCAGGGTCAAGTCCTGTATAGTGGCGAACTAGGGGATATTTCAATAAAACTTAGCAAATAAACGTAATTCCACGTACTTTTGAGGTCGGTTTTTTTAGTACTCTGTACTGAGATTATTTTCAAATGGCTTTAATTTCGTTTGTAAAAAAAAATGTGTTCTGAAATAAAGCCAGTGGCCCTGCCGCTCTTCCCAAGCAAAATGAACCTTATTAGTAAGGGAAAAATTTTAATTCTAGATTTCTAGTTAGACGATTAGAAGGCAGAGTCGATAACCATCTAAAACAACTATGCAAATTAATTAGATTAGTAATTTGCACGCGATTATCAAATACCTCAACGATTGACGGAACCAATTAAGTTTTTCGCTCGTCTTTTTACTCGATTTGCATCGTCTGCTGGTTATACATATTTACATTCTAATCACTTGAGAATTTTCTTATTACTTTTTGCTGCTTTTAAAACACAAAAAAGACAGTTCTTTGCTGTTTTTTTTTTCTCGTAAGAGAATCACCACTTATAATTATTAACCTATCAGTGCCATGTAGTGTCCTTAGTCCATGTAGGTTCGCGAGCTGTTCCACAAAAATTAAAATTACACTATTCAAAGCGTACAGCCAATAATTTTACTCGAATCGCCTGTGGGCTAAGTATACGAAACGTGCTTTTAACGCCTTACGCGTACAATACAATAAAGCTTTCAGGATGCTAGTTGGGTCTGCTGAGATGGTGCAGTGCGTCAGGTATGTTCGCAGAAGTGCACATAAATGGCTTCCAAACGATAATGCGAAATAAATAGTATCGATTATGGGTCGTGTCAGAAGTAGTCCCAACGGTATCCTGAAAATGGTTGCATACAGATTTGTTTGTCCAATCTTAATGTACTGGGTGATCGTATCAGAAATGATGAGATACGTAGAAGAACGAAAGTCACCGACTTAGCTCAAAGGATTAGCAAGTTGAAGTGGCAGTGGGCAGGGCACACAGCTCGTAGAACTGACGGCCGTTGGGGCAAAAAGGTTCTCGAATGGAGACCACGAACCGGTAGGCGTTCATTGGGACGGCCTCCTGATGGACGGATGACATGGACCCCCATTCTCCGTCCGACATCCGTCCGAAAAAATAACTGTCAAATAAGTAATACTCGACCAAATTAAAAGACAACGTCAAGCATGAAGCTTCACTCGCATCATGCGTCCTTTAATTTGGTCCAGTATTACTTATTTGACAGTTATTTTTTCGTAAGGACGGCGGGTAACCGATGGGTGCACGTCGCGTCCGACCGGCTAGTCTGGCAATCTTTGGGGAAGCCTATGTTCAGCAGTGGACGTCTTCCGGCTGATATAATGATGATGAATGTAATGATGAATGATGAATGGTTGGGCAAGTCAAATCTGTTTTTATGTGTATACCTAATAAACAAATAGTTGTAGTGTTGTTATGATGTATTATAATATTAATCTAATTTAAGTGAAAATAGGAAACGAAACTATTTTTCCGGATTTAAATCGCGTGTATTTGTTTTTTCAAACAAATGTGGTTTGTTCATTTCCTATGTGTAACAATCGCGAAAACCTAAGAACTCGTTAAGTGAAAATGTAACTTTTATTTATGACACCAAATAACGGGACGAACAAGTCGTGCGCATGCTGTTATGCGACACGCCTGCCCATAGCAGTTGTAGAACCACAAAGATCTGAGCGGCACTGTCTCTGCACCCGTCACTCTGAGACATAAGTTGACAAGTCCCATGTGCCTGTAATTTCACCTTCACAATCAGAACGCAGTAATGCTCACATTATTGCTTGGCGGCAGAAATAGGTAAGGTGGCTGTACTTCCCTGGAAGAACTCTTTCACAAGGAGCTCTACTGCTACTCCTGTCAACCTTTAAAAAGGTTTAATAAACCTTTAATACTCGACAGGCTGAGGTCTCTGCCTGCCCTGATAGGAAAAGAGCGTGTAATGTATATAATACTAAAAAAGATCAGATGTTACGTTGTTGTACATGTTTAACGTCGTCATACAACTTTTCTGAGCTTGGAAAGATAGACAGTAAATCTATATTACACTCGTGAAGAGATAGAGAATGCAATATAGTGCATTACAGTGCCAGCACATATATATTACATATCGGGATTTTTTTTTAAAAAAGGCGATGTATAATATTTACATCCTGGTACGAAGGCGAAGACTGACTTCAGCTTTGTAGAGCGTGTGACATGTTGTCGCTAATGTTTGCGACGGAATTAACTCTCTACAAATCTGAAGGTAGCCGATTATGGCAGATAGACTTGGCCTAACGCTCTATATTGCAAGGTATTGCACCTGTTTTTATGTCCATTTGGCTTACGGATATTTTTCCTCTATTTCAGCGCTACCTAGGTCTTCCAGTAATGCTAAAAGCAGGCGAGTACTCACCGAACAACCCTCTACTGCGCGGCGAACGGACCTCCGGTGACGCTCTGTTAGGACTAGGCGAATATGAGCGTAGAAGAAACACTCTGCGCAAAATACGACAGCAACAGTATAGAGAATATCTTGATGAGGTGAGCTTTGTAAACTTCTAACCTGTTCTGGTTGCCTGGTACTAGTTTCGGTTAGTATTACTTTATATACGTTTTTACGTTATTGCTTATGTATGAAATAAATAAAATCAGTTTTTGCTTTGTTCGTACATATTATATGATTGAATCATATGAAAAAAAAATATATTTTTGTTTTTTATGATACCAAGTGACGGGACGGACATATCGTGGGCCGGGCTAAGCGACACGCCTGTCCATAACAGTTGCAGTGCAGCTCAAAGGGCACTGCCACTGCGCCCGTCACCCTGGGACATAAGTTGACAAGTCCCATGTGCCTGTAATTTCACCAGCAACCGTACCCTTCAAAACCGTAGCGCAGTAATGCTATCATTACTGCTTGGCGGCAGAAATAGGTAAGGTGGCAGTACTTCCCTGGACGTACTCTTCCACAAGGAACTCCACTGCTACTATATGTAATGTAAGAGCCAATGTGGATGAAAATGTGAGGATAGATTGACCTCGTGAATTTGTTTAAAAAAACCAGTGCTGTTTTATTAAACAAATTGACATTATTATGATGTGAACGTTATTCAAAACCAAAACCAAAGTAACTATACCTCAGTGGCCCAGCGGTTAACACTGGGCGCTAGATCCCCTAGAGTTCCTGGTTCGATACACAGTAGCACCACTTTTGAACGAACTTATCTTAATTGGTTCTAGTCTTGCTGCTTTATTACGCACAGTACATAGAATTCAAGTGTAATTGGTTATCTGGCTTATTGTTATTATAATTTCTATTTCTATTTTTACAGCAAGCAAGGAAAAAACAAGAAGCCAAAGAGCAAGTGGAAAGAGAACGTCGTCAGAGAGAAGAAAGAGAGAGACAGATAGAAGACAAGGAAAGGTTGGAAATAGAGACAGATAGCTCCAGTCCAGAGCTAAGAAGAGCCAGTGTTAATTATGTGCCCGAAAGGAGAATTGAGAAGAGGCAACTTGCCAAACATTTTAGTAGAAGGTAAGTAATATAAGGATATAGTAGTGAAATCAGAAATTTTATTTTACTCGGTACAACAACAATTTAAAAAGCAAAGATTTATATTGACCGTTTTTTGGTAAATCTAGCTTGCGTCAATTACTGTTGTCCATATTCTCATTTTCATAAAATTAAGTTATTCTAAAAATTAACATTAAAAATAAACAAAACTATCTACAATAAAAACATAGTAAAAAGTAAAGCGATGTAAAGTGTGCAATCCTGACCTACACAACGGCTTGCATTAAAATAATAATATTGACAATAAAACAAAAAATAAACCAATTTAATTTTATTTTTAACCGACTTCAAAAAAGGAGGAGGTTCTCAACTGGACTGTATTTTTATTTGTATGTAACGCGATTACTCCGATTTGCAGAACCGCTTTGGATGATTCTTTTTTGTTCGAAAGAGAGTGCCTCAGTATTGGTCTCATTTAAATTTGAAGAATATATTCCACCTCTAAGGGTGTAAACTAGGGGATGAATCCGGTTTCGCGCAGTTTCCGGTTACTGATTCCAATAAAATGAAATTGCACGAACGCGAAAAAATTGTTTTTGTACAAAAAAAAAATATTATTACTTTATTGATTTATAATTAGTGGAATGAATAGAAACAGAAAATTGTGACCGTACCCCTGGTCGGGCGCTTCGGCGAGGACAGTAGGGTTTATGATAAGGAGTTCAGGGTAATCGATCTGCCCTCGTAACATATCAAAAAGAAAACCCAAAAAAAATGTGAAGTAGAAATTAGAAACATTTGAATGAATAAAATAAATAAAAGAAATTTAAAAAAATACAATAGCAACACAACACAGTAAGGCAAGTATCCTATCGTCGCTTTACTTTCTGAAACTCCTATCTTAATCGCTAGGACCGCCCAGTTACCACGCCTTCGTGTACTTTAATGGCGAATCTTAATTCTATTTACTAGGCAACAACATTTAAATTCCTCTGAATAATACAACCGCGCGGTTTTCAAGACCAAATTCGGACGCTCATTTAAGTTACAACGTAATAGTTAAATGAATAGAGCTTATTTTGCCATGACAGTTAGACGCACGCGGTCGATGCGCGGCGACAACGCGGACTCCGCGAGGGATGAGCGCGGTGAAATTCGTGTCGAATAAACGCGCCCTTAACATTGACTTACAATTATATGGACGTCGGGTCCGCGCTAAAAAGTGTCCGCACTTGTAAGGCGCTAAAATCGTATACAGAGCGCCAAACTCCGCTTTAGTCTTCATTTGTTCTACTGACAGCGCGATACTGCGATGACATTACAATTTAAATTTCGAATAGGTTGACTTGGGACATTTTTTTTCGTGGTTTCTGTATTAGACCCGTCGTCAATTTATTTGTAAGTCAATGGCCCTTAACCACAAAGTTACCAAAATGCTAAAATGGATTGTATATACAAATTTTGCAGGCTGATTTCAATTCACTTTTCCTTCATTATATTCATACACTGCCTTTTACCTATTCTTAAAGTTATGCGTCCAAATTATCACCCTTGATAAGAAATTTAAAATAAATAGAAAGATATGCCATCTCCAGAATAATCACTCTTTATAAGATACGAGTTTGAGAAAGTAAAGCATCGATATAATACGCTAACAACAAGGCGGTCTCATTGATAAGTAGCAATTTTTTATTATTACACGAACTGGTAAAATGGTCGGTGTTATATAACTTATAAGACGGAAGTGAATAGGCGCTTTCCTGACAAGCAAGTTCTAACCTCGACGATAAGCGTCACGTAGCCCTTAGTGATATTGTGATTAAATGTTTTCCTACAACTTATAAAAAAGACTCCGCTTCCTGTGATTTTTAAATATAATATGGGAGACCCGCGTTCCCGTTATGTCGTAACGACAGACAGTCGTGCAGTTTAAAGTGTCGTGTCTTGTATATTTAAATGAACTTGTTCACACATACAGACAGACAGTCTGTCTTAACAATGAGAAGAGCTAGAACGACAGTCGTTTGACGTTAAATAAAACGTCACGACAAAAATGTGACGACAGATAATCGCAGCTTTAAAAGATTCGGTCGTGCAAACGGCAAGGCAGCTGCCGTCAACCGATAAATTGTCGTCACGATCTACTGGGAACAGCTAGACACGACAGTCGTTCAACGATAAAATAAACGTCCACGACACAGTCACGACAAATAGTCGTGACATGGGAACAGGCTAGACGCGACAGTCGTCCAACGATAAATAAAACGTTACGACATATAAGGAACGCGCCCTAAGAATTTAAGCCTGTAGACACTCTCAACATAAATAGATAATACACCATACATCCCGCTTTGAGCGGGACAGTCCCGCTTTTAAGCTTCGTGTTCCGCTGTCCCCAAATTACTTAACTATGTCCCTTTGTTGTGTGAAAATTGTAATAAAAAATAAGGGTCACGTTAACCTTCCTGAATTTACTTAATTTTGGTCTAAAGTGTCAAACCAGGTCATAGTAATCTGCTCATGATTGCAGTAAAGTGGACATGGGCGTGCAAGTGGGCATCAGCAGACCGCTGTCCGTAGCCGTGCAAACAGATGACTCAGCTTTATACAGGGTGAGTGTTTAAATGTTTAAATAAATTATGATGAGATTTAATACTTAAGTAGGTTTGATTTTTAGACTCTGAGACATAAATTGACAAGTCCCTGTGCCTGAAAAAATATAAAAATACGGCATAAAAAGTCCAGTCGAACCGAAAGAATTTTTCTTTGTTTTGTTTCGTTAAATAAAATCCAACTCCGATTTTTTCGAATATTATTCTCTTAAGTTCACTATCGGATCAACACTGAGCTGCTCGTCTTTACCTCTTATAGCATTCATTAAGGTGGTAGTAGTGCGAAGTTAGGCATGAAAACCACAGAGCGATCCTAAATAGTACTAAAATAGTCAATACAACAACTAAACAAGTAATGCGCGAAGTTAGGTTCGAATACCATAGAAGGATCCATAATAAAATAGTCAGCAGAAGAACTAAATGGGTAAAGCGTAACATGTATCAATAAGTTAACAAAGTGTTTTCACAAAAAGTATGAATATCATGGTAGCTAAAACATTATGACTATATCATCCGTTGTTTGTTACACGGTGACGAAAATATTTAGTTAATTTGATTCTTATTAGTGTAGCCTAAAGATGCTGTCAGTTGCGTGTACAATGTCCATGTTATGTGCAGCGTTTTTTAAATCGTTCTGCACGTCGAAGAAGATTCACAACTCTCGGAAAATGTGTGGCGTCTCCAAATCTGCCGTCAGGTAATTAAAGCTAAGTGAGCGGTTAAGTGACAATATATTTTTTTGAGACATCATAAAGAACCATAACCCAGTTTTAGAATATTAAAATTGTTTAATGATATTTCAGCCACGCATCGTTAACGTAAATTCCGACAAGTCGAATACGTTAAAAGAGAACTTTGTGCTCTATTTTTTGCTATTTAAAACGGTTATTTGACCATTTGTCACTTAACCGCATTTTAGTTAGTGGACGGCAGAAATGTGTGGCGGACTATGGCCTAAAACCCTCGCCTGATGGAAGACCCGTGCTCTGCAGTGAGAAGTATAAATGGTTTGATGATGATGTTTTAAATGTTCTTTTCACCCAGCTGTCGCCATCCCTGACGAAAATGCAGCTAACGCAAGCGGAACGCGAGTTATCACCACGTACAGTAGTGGAGTTGCACGAAGATCAGCCCGGAGAACACGAAGATCGGGCCGCGCAGCACGAATCTCGGCCCGTACAACACGAAGATCGGCCTATACAGTCCGACGACCGGCCCATACATCCCGCGCCGTGGGTCAGGGAAGCCCAGCGGTGGGACAAGAGTGCACGGAGACGCAGTTATGGAGATTTTGACGGCAAGTCACGCATCCAAAATAACTTTAATCGTTTTTCTGTCATAATTATTAATACAAAGATCGAACACTCAGAAAAAACACTCAGAAAAAATTTCTTCGATCCGGTCGGATTTGAACCGACGTCTTCTTGCATACCGTGCCAGACGCTATACCAACTAAGCCACGGAACGAATCATCGGACCTCACGAATTTTTCTATGTGCTTGCGTCGTGTCTTTGTACTTGGTCTTTCAACGACTTTTTAGTCGTAGCGCCATCTATGAGAAATCTATTGCAGATTTATTTATTATTGCGTTTTTCTGTCGTTATGTAATGTGTGGAAAAGTTTTTAACAAAATACCGGATCGATTTAAATCCCTTTCTTTGACTAGATTTAAAAGGGGATTGTGCACTTGGCTTTAAGAACATTTATTCTAATCGATTGACGATTTTTTGAAATGTACAGATCCTAAAAGATCCTAAATGATTAATCTTAAAAAATGAAATTATCTCATAGATGGCGCTACGTCTAAAAGTCGTTGAAAAACCAAATACAAAGACACGACAACAAGCACATAGAAAAATTCGTGAGGTCCGCTGGTTCGTTCCGTGGCTTAGTTGGTATAGAATCCGGCCGGATCGAAGGAATTTTTTCTCGTGATCTTTGTATTAATAATTATAACAAACTAGTGGAGTAATTTCACAAAAAAAATTTGATTCATAATATACCCACCTTATTTAAAGCAAATAAATGATATTCTGTTGTACTCTATTCCATTGGTGTGATTATTCTGGGTAGTGCCTCGAAGTGACCCAGGTCTGTGGACTACAACGCCTTTGTCAACCCATTACAAAGCATAACTTAAGGCGAGTCACTGGAGGTGAAGTGGAAAAAACTATTTTACCAGATCAAATGGTTTAGGTATTTACTATTCAATATCGGTGTTACAAAAAATATAATCCACGTCTAAGGATCTTGCCTTAGAATATACTAATTTGTTTCACAATAGGATGTACTTTACTCGATCACATTAAAAAAACGAATTATTTAAGAACAAAATATCTAACTTTGCACGTAATTTTTATATTAGATATTTATCTTTAAATACTACAGAGAATCTGCTAAATTTTGGTTTTCAACTGAAGCCTTATAGTTATTAAATACACATTGATCCCGAAATTTGAAAATTGCCCAGCGGCTTAACGACACGCCACGCCGCCCGCTGCCCATCAGTTGCCATCGGGCGCTTGTCGAAGACTGATCTGTGTCAATTTTTCCCCGCCTGTTCTTATTTTATTCATATTAAGGGCGCGTGTACACGCTAAGAAATTCGACGTGTCTGCTACAGAAAAGATGAGAATGGTCTTGTACAAGACAAGAACTTTTGTCGGATCTAGCCACGAAAACATGTCATGTCTGTTGCAAACGAGAAAATGATGAGTATGTACACGATACGAATGCTTTCGGATAGACGTGTGTAAGGTAAAATGTGTCAGTGCATTAAGAGTCTTCCAGGCACCTGTCGTTTTACTACCGACTGTAGGAAGAAATATGTTGTTTTTTATGTTGACTACTTAGCAACACCCGTCTATGCTCATAAACGTTCGTTTACTGACAATGCACCTCACTCGTTGTTGTTTCGGGGATTGACAAGATTTTTTTCTTGTCCGGCGCCGAGGCAGTGTACACAGCTCTGAATTCTTGCATAGACCCGGCTACTTTTCTTAGCGTGGACACGAGCCCTTGCGGGACTTCGTGTCCCCGTCCCCACACCTCACTTCCTAAAACGTAGGCTGGCGTTGAAACACCTCGCCTATAGTTGATAGTTAGTAAATATAACCTGTTCCATGTTTGTATTGCAGATCGTTCATCTTCGCTGACGAAAAAGTCTAATCGCGACAAATTGGTGTCGGACCTGCGTCACACATACATGCCGTCCATATTCGACGCAGACGCCATTCAGATGCGAAATCAACAGGCAGAAAAGGTAGCATTGATACGACATACCTTCCTTTTTACCACAAACCGTTATAGCCTAACCCCTCATGGAAGAATGGCGTAAGTGGATTTACGTCAAAAATGTCTATTGCTTCATGAGATACAGAAAAATATTATAACCCACATCACTTAGTAGCAGTAGAGCTCCGTGTGAAAGAGTTCCTCCAGGGAAGTACTGCAACCTTACCTATTTCTACCGGCACGCAGTAATGTGAGCATTACTGTGTTCCGGTTTTGAAGGGTTAGGGTGCCGGTGAAATTACAGGTATGCGGGACTTGCCAACTTATGTCTCAGGGTGACTGGCGCAGTGGTAGTGCCCCTCAGATCTTTGCGATTTAAAGCTCTGAATGGCACTGCAACTGTCATGGACAGGCGTGTAGCTTACCGTCAGACACACGACTTGTTTGTCCCATCACTTGATATAATAAAAATAAAAAGAATAAAAAATCCTCTCCAATTCTTGTAACTCTATCGACTAATAATCGATAGACTTTTCTGTATCTAATGGAGCAATAAACATTTTTGACGTAATTCCACTTACCATTCTTCCATGAGGGGTTCGATTTTACGATTTGTGTTGTTACGTCAATTTTTTTTTTGTTAATTTTACGGTAGTTTTGATTACATTTAAAACTATTACAAATGTTAATCAGATTCACCAAATTCCTTGACGGTGTGTTGAGCCCGTAACACACATTGGGCTCATGCTGGACTTAAACTCGTTTGTTTGAACTGTGAGGATGAGGATGCAGAGTTTCTGGTGACAAAATTAGTTTGGCAATAAGGATATAGCTATATATATATTTGTAAAATACTAACAACCTCGCAGACATTAATAAACAACAACTTTTTTTCGACGTTTGGCTCCCGTCATTTTATTATTGAAGCTGCTACGTAATGTGTGCAGGAGGCCGCGGAGCGCCGCCAGTTCTACCAGCAAGAGCTGAAAAATCAAATCTTAGAACAACAGCGGATTAGAGAAGAGAGAAAGACCAGAGAAAAGTAAGTGCACTAAATTCTAGCTCCTTTTTTGACAATTTCAAACAGAATTAATTCATAAGGTTCGTTCCGTGGCTTAGTTGGCATAACGCCTGACACGGTATGCTAGGAGACGTCGGTTCGAATCCGGCCGGATTTTTCTAAGTATTCGATCTTTGTGTAACAACAAAGATAATTGTAACAAACTAGTGGGGCAATTTCACAAAAAAAAATTTGAATATCATCGTAGTAAAACATCGGGACATCGGAACATTCAACAAAAACTAGAAAATTATAATTTGAAACAGAAATAAAAACAAAAAACATATTATGACGCCTGTCTTTCACCGAAGCAGGCAGAGGCTCTGAAGGACCATAGGTCCTCCGTTTATTCTTGATACTTTTAACCCGGTTTTTTGTAAGGACATCCTCAATCTTATTAAACAGAAATCACGACTAAAAAATCTTGCAAAGTCGATTCGGGAAAACGTAAAAAAAAATTCCTTCAATGCATTTGTCCCTTTTGTTTTCTTCGAGAAAAAGTTAAATGAAGACTAACTAAGAAACCCAAAAAACAACCTAATCAAATAAAATTAAATTAATAATGTTAAAACAGCAACACAGAATCGGAAAGACAGAATCAATGCTGTCTTTCTACGAGGTGAGCCGACTGGGCCAATGCAACACTTAACACAATGAACACATCAGTCCACTGACAATCGACTCTTAAGTAGCACTGGAGCTCCTTGTGAAAGAGTTCGTCCAGGGAAGTACTGCAACCTTACCTATTCCTGCCGCCAAGCAGTAATGTCATCATTACTGCGTTCCGGTTTTGGAGGGTAAGGGTGCTGGTGAAATTACAGGCACACGGGACTTGTCAATTTATGTCTCAGGGTGACGGGCGCAGTGCCCCTTAGATCTTTGCGGTTTAAAGCTCTGAGTGGCACTTTAACTGTTATGGACAGGCGTGCAGCAGGCGCACGACTTATTCGTCTCGTCACTTGGTATTGTAAAAAGGAAGATCGTGTAAGTTAAACTAAGAAAGTGCTGTAGCCTGAATGCTAAATTACTATAGCCTGAAGCAGTATTTTGAAGAGTGACTGTACCAAATTACTTCCCTTTATACCTACTGTAGCAAAAGCCATTTTTTGTTATGGTAACTTTTGCTTTGCTATTCATCATCATCTACCCATTTATATGTGCCACTGCTGGGCACGGGTCTCCTTTCAGACGAGGGTTTAGGCCATAGTGCGACACGCTGGCGCCGCCCGCAATGCGAGTTGGGGACTTCACACGTTTTTCGAGGGTTGTGAACCTTCTTCAACGTGCAGGTTTCATCACGACGTTTTTCTTCACCGAAAAGATCATGTTAAATTTCAAATTAAATTTCGCACATAAATTGTACTGAAACTCAAAGGTGCGACACTGGATTCGAACCCACGACCTTCTGCTTGAGAGGCAGTAGGTCAAACCATTAGGCTACCACGGTTTCGCTATTATTGTTTTTAATTTATTATTTTTTCTTTAAATAAGTTTATATCGCACATGAAACAAAATACGTCATAACTCAACATTGTGCAATTGAGAAAACACTATTTGAAAATTAAAAATAAATATTAAGTGGATTTTATTGCAAATAATGTGTTTATTTTTATTTATACATAATACTTAATTTTGACGGTTACCGCACTGGACTGCCACGCAAAAGTCTCGGGTTCGATTCCCGGACCGGGAGAAATATTTATATGACCTACATTTATTTCTCTCGTGAGTTTGGGTGTAATTTGAGGTTGTCTATGTGCGTATCCATGGCACCCGCGATACAGGGTTTCCCTAGTGCTACGAGCGTGTGTGTTGAAAATAATTACAATTACAAATTTTAATGCATATTTTTTAATTGCTGCGCCCTAACAGGGTCATGTTGATACTATTTTAATTTTAAGAACTCTATGTAACACATGATAGCAATAGATGCTTTGACTTTGACTTAATGTGCCATTTCAGGATGCTAGAACAAGCTGAGATGCGTCGTCTGGAAGAGCAGTTACGGATGCTGCGGTCCGCGCAGCGCTCGGAAACGCAGAAACAGCAGCACTTCAGCGACAAGGTAAGGCCGATACGGCTCTCGTCGTCCCCGTCCTGACATTAGTATCAGGTTGTATATATTGCACATCGGGAATACTCGGAATACACGACTATATCCGAACGCTGTTGTCGCGTCTATGTTATCGTGTTATTCACAGAACAATAAATACAGTAGAAGTGGTTAGTTAGCGTCCAAAGCATGCCAACAGTAGGTCCCGTTAGACCTACTTGAGCTCAGTCAGCCATTTTGCTTTGAATGGTATGGTTGTGTCTTTCTTTTTGAAATTCTGTAAAGTCGTAGAAAAATGCCATATTGTGCTGTTTTGGAGTGCAAAAAAAAAAATATTACCTGTAGTAGTATTTCATATCATTGGTAAGTTTTATTTTAATAAATTATAATTTTCTGTTTATCGAATTGATTTTTTGTACTGTAACAAACGAAAGTAAACATTACCCCAGAGCAATATGGTCGAGTTTTATCTTTGGGAGAATTAAGTAAACATGTCGAATTTTCCGCGCGTAGTAACGAAAAAAAGTTTAGCGAAAAAATGCTTCATGAGTGTTTTGTTAATTTTAAACTCAATTGCTCGAAATAATGTTCATTATGTAATGTGTGCTTAACGCAAGGCAAGAAGACATCTGTTGTCGAGAAGATACTACTTTCTATTCGTTCAGCTGTTAATCGGACTTGTATATTAAACTGGATCGCGCACTAAGTTAATAAAACGAGACGAGTGAGAGGCTTCAAAGTAGTAATGCGTCTCTTTCTAATAAGGTGTTCATTCATATTTCAGCCATATTGTTTGTAACTTTTTAGTTCTTACGGAAAATGTGACGCTTATCGATGACCAAAACTACTAATAATTATTTCATAATACAAATTAGTATACTTATTTGATATGCTACTTCATAATAGAAGGTTGCATTCTTGATTTTTTTTTTGTATTATTGCAGTAAAAGCATATTACTTTTGAGCTAATTTCATTTAACCAAAATTTAAAAAAAAAATAGACTAGACACTACCAAAGATGATTTTAATTAGCGTTAGTAACTTGTTAGACAAGGACAGACCACTACTTCGAGTTATCTCACGTGACTCGGTTTTTTACTTTTACTTAAAACAAACCTTTACGTAACCCAACAAGGTGTAAATTTGTAATATTGGTATATCGTAGTACGCGATCCAGATGTAATGTATAAATCCGTGGTTAATTGTTCGTCGTAGTCCAGCTACTGTAAAAATATGTCACATGTATATGTATGTTAGGTGAGAACGTTCGCTTTTGAAAGCTAAGTAACTTCGTAGGTCTTAGTCAAACGCGGCAGTTAGTAGGGAGAGGGATGACACATAATCACTTGTACAGTCGATACCCTAGGGTACCCCCAGGCGACCTTTAGGCTCCAATGCCTTTAGGATGTTGATGGGGCTTTTTTTATAATATCTCAAGTAACAAGACAAACAAGTCGTACGCCTGGTGGAAAGCGGCACGCCAACCCATAGCAGCGCAAAGATCTTAGGGACATTGCCACTACACCTGTCATCCTGAGACATAAGTTGAAAAAGTCTCCTGTGCCTATAATTTCACTATCACCCATAACCTTTCAAAACCGGAACGCAGTAATGCTCAAATTGCTGCTTGGCGGCAGAAATAGGTAAGGTATTTCCCTGGACGAACTCTTTTACAAGGAGCTCTATTGCTACTAAAATTGGTCCTACTGGGAATCAAACCATCATCATCATCTAGCGCTCATAGTGCAAACCGTTGTAGCACCGAGATCGTCTTACCTTTAAAGACTTCCACAGACTTTCATGCAACATGTAAATTATCTCACCATCGATTCTTATCACTGTTAATTCAAAAGGCTATTCACAGATCTAACAATACTATTTGTTACTATGCACTTCATTTCAGTTATTTCACTAGATGGCGCTGATTGATCTTACATGACATCTGTTTAATATATTTTTTTAAAACCTCCACAGGCAATGAAACTATTTTTTCGGATTTAAATAGCGTATATTTGTTTTTTCAAACAAGCCGACTTTTTGGGCCCTTCACAGGTCCGTTTGTTTGTAAAATAAATATACGCGATTTAAATTCGAAAAAATAATTTCATTTCCTATGTGTAACAACCTCGAAAACCTAAGAACTCGATATAACCTCTACATGTGATTAGGAAAGATCAGATAAATGTTGTAAAAACTTTTTTAAATTTTCAGATGAAAGAAAATGCAGTAGACTTCGAAAATAAACGCACATCTTTACAAAAAGATATCGACTTTGAACACCAGAAACTTATACGAGCCACGACGCACCTTCCGAAACGAACATCTACATCGCACAGCGACACCGCCCTTTCAAAACTACCCTTCTACTACCCACGGATTAATGACAGGCCACCATTCTCCACTAATATCCCGAAAAATACGCTCTTCAACCCCAGTTACGACGTCGAAAGTTACTTGAGAAAAAACTTAAATCCTTCAAATGAAAGTCTGCTGTCCAGCAGATTGTCCAATTTAGAGATAGATAAACTAAACTGTGATGAAAACGTAATTGTAGAACGGGCGTTAATACACGATGATCCTAAAGATAAAAAAAGGTACGAACCCTCGTTCATACGAAAAAATGTAGATGATTATGTTCAAAATAGCGACGAAATTATACCAGTCTTAAGACATTCGCCCAAAAATGATAATAATTGTAAAGATGATAATTTAAGCGATGCTATGAAGCAAATAGATAATAAATGGAAAGTGCCTGTTGTTCAAAAGAATATATTAAAATCTATACCTAACGAGGAAGGAAAGAATGTAAGTATATTGACGCAGTTAGGCTCTATTAGGAGACAACTGCAGTTAGAACAATTGCGCTTAGACGGTGCGTCTGGCAGCGGTGATATGTAATCCTTCCAAAGCTTAGCTTTTAAAATTAGTGGTTTAATTCAGAATTACGAATTTCGGAGCTAATTGGAATTACTATTCGTAGAACAACCAAAAGTTTACGTTAGTGTTTGGATTTTAGAAGTCATATTTTACGGGATAATATTTATAGAAAGGCTCCGAACCTTGGACTTTAGAAATGGTACTTTATCGTTGCATCTTTTAGTGGTCACCTTTAAATTATATCAAACAAATTTAAATGATGATAGGAAAATGTTTTGAGGAAAATTAGGTTGGTATTTTTAATATTGGAGATGGTTTAAACAAAAATTAAAAACGTGACGTAATCTCGAAGAAGGACAAGTGAAATTCCCTGCCTACAGACTTATTCCCTGAGCGCTATCTCTTAGGCCTTTTCAAGGCGAGAGTGAATAGGCATTATTTATGTATGCATGCTCCATCGTTGACCTTTATCACTTTCGATCAGGAGAGATTGAGGTCAAATTCGCACTTATTTTAACGATAATAAATAGACATAATTGATTTTGTCTATCCTCATTGTCTTTGTTTTCCCTGTTACTGCGATTGAGTGAAAAAAATTGGCGGATTTTTGTAGTTACAGTTTTTACACGAATTAATTTTAGTGTACATACATTACTTTTTGAGTTTCTCAATTAAAAAAATTTAGTTTAGTGGGACTACATTTTGATGAAATAAAAATATGTATAGTGTGGCCTAAAGTTCAACTTTACTGACTCACTCAGTAACTCATTAAAGTCAATTAATTTCTTTACATTAAAATCTTTTTGACAACTTGTAGGTGTTAATTAAAAAAATAAAAACTCAATTTTGGTAACAGAAAGAAGAAGAGTAAATGAATGATTGTTCAGCAAAGTGTTTCTTTATGTATGCAAACGGCAAAACAGCAAATCTGAACCGGAAAGACAATATCTCTTCCACCACTCTGTCTTTCCCCTGGTGTACCCTGATATACCCCACAGAGTAATCTACGCCTAGACCTCGGTGAGTTCGAGTCCGGGATTCGGACGTATAATATTAAAATAAGTTTTTTTATAAGTGCGAGATGAAGGTCAAATACCTCCATCTCATCTGATGGAGAGTGACGATAAGTTCGACGATGTAGCATGCACGTTTAAATAAAGCCTATTCACTCTCGCCTTGAAGAGGCCCGAGTTATAGTGCCCGGGGCATAGTCGGCAAGCAGGAAATTCTTAATTGTAGTCCCCCAATGATGGAAAGGCGAAATTAAATCACGCCATTCCTTCGCAATATCTATAGAATACCGATAAGCAGGCAACTTTACGGCGGAGTTCAAACCTATCAAGTGATAGTAAATTAACTTTGAAACATGTTTTGACATAATTTTTTGGTGGCAACTCCCTGTCAATTGGTGCAAGCATTGTTGACATATCTAGTTAATAAATAAACTATATTACGTAGTGAAACTTGTAAGAGTAAGTGCTGGTTAAAATCAGTATGTTTATTCAATTTTTTGTACTAAAGCTTTGGAAATGCTTTATAACTAATTTTCGTTAGGCAGGAAAAATCTAGCGGAAATTACTACAAGGAGAATATCATTGTCGGATGGTATCAATTGATAAGTTGATTTAATTGATTTGGCATTTTGTAGCTTTAATTATTAGAAAAAAAATTAAAAACATAATTTTTTAGTGATGTGACAAGTAACAAGAATAACGAAGTCCAGACATTGCTCTTATAATGTATCCTGTTACGACGGAGTAAATTCACAGAATTTCCGCTATATTTGTCCTTAGATTAAGAAATACGTTGGATTTGATACCATATAGAATAAAATCATTCATCAAAGTGGAAGTTGCCATACGAGAAATCTAATCAAATTGGCAACATTTTAATTATCATTGTGTATAGCAGTACTAAACATTTTAAAACTTTAATCGCACTTTGAATTATGCCTCAGTGATTGATTTTAGTTGTTAATTAAAAATATTTTTTAGGTATCACTTGTTACAGTTGATTTTGCCTTTGAGACTGTTTTTTGTTGGTAACAGAGTATGTTTGTTTGACATGTAAATCGACATACGGACATTTTACTTGCAAACATGTTTGTGTACGCTCATCACAGACTTATAAATGGGAAGCAGACCAAACACATTAATTAATCTGCGTGGTCGCTACAGTGCCCCCTATATTTCGCTCATCACGTGGAAGACGGATTTACATTTGTCTGATGTGTAGTGTTGTGACGCGTCACAATGGTATCGGTTTCATACATACAACACAAGCCGTCACGTCCGATTGCGACACACTAATATAAATTTAACCATATTAAATGTACGAAACCATAACGTCACGACACGACGTACTACGTAAGTTCTTACATTTGAATTTCAAAATATTCGCCAACTTGGAAAAGTTTTTCTACACCAGCTGCATTAGAATTTGAACAAATAAATAATAAAATTAATTATTCCATTTGCCTCTAAACAACCAGTTTAAGTGAATTTCTTAATAAGCCTAAAAAATGACGTATATTTCGTCTGACGACTTGCATCCATGGTCATGAAATAAATACTTAAAAAAAAGAGATAGACAATACGTTTTTTTCTTGGAAGGAAAAGAATACTGTAACTCTATTAGATATGTATATGGGAGTGTTAAATTATATTTAGTCTGCTTCCCATTTCTATTTCCCATAAGTCTGTACCGCTGATGAATGGGACACTTTATATCATCAGCATTTCCACGGCACAGCAGTGTCATGTCAAATGGACCTTCGCCATTTTGCAAACTAACTTTTCGTACACACACGAGCATTGTCGTTAGAAGTCAACACTAGCGCCACGATCTCAAGGTCCTTATGCCACCAGTATTTTGATTTTGCATGATTTTATTAAAAACAATTATTTATAGGAAATGAAACTATTTTTACGGATTTAAATCGCGTATATTTGTTTTTTCAAACAAACCAACGTTTCGGGCTCTTTACAGGTCCCTCTCATGGCCCGAAATCCGGAAAAATAATTTCATTTCCTATGTGTAACAATCGCGAAAACCTAAGAACAATTATTTAATTTTAAAACGTATTATTCTCATATTATTTAATAGTGCATGTATCAATTTGTGTTTTTTGATTTCTGCAAGTAAGGTGATACAAACTGTTTTGACCGGAAATCGATTGGTCATCCCTTTCTTGCCTTTATTTTTTTTTAATTTATTATCAACAAATGACAGTATTATAATTTTTTAATAGTGCACGTTTTTTTATCGTTTGTAACTTTTGCAAGTGAGGTGATACAAACTGTTTTGATCTGAAATCGATATTTGGTCATCCCTTTCTTGCCTTTTTCTTATACACTCTCG